ATCTCATCAAGCATATATCATCATTTAGCCTACCATTCCTTTCCTGCAGGCATCCTTGACTACTGTTGACTCAATTAAGTGTGATATCAGCGTGCTGTGCGATCCAACTCACCAGAAGTGCTGTTCTGCCTTATGTTAAATTCATGGGAAGGAATGGGGAGGCTTAGCTTCATTACTTAACAATTTCTTTTCCAGCTGAATGAGATATTGTGACTTTTTAATAATACAGAAAGGTTATTAAAGTCTGGTAAGGAAAAAAGGCTTTTGTGTGAAATATTTGATTTTGCAGAGGTGATACATTGAAAATTATTTAAAGATTTCTGGTAATAAAAAAAACCACCCTGGAAATGGAAAATTCATTTTATTTTATCTTGTCAGGTTTCTTTATTCTTCAGCTTACTGAGCAGAATATAATTGAGAGCTGCAGTAAAGTCTTCTGAAACTCACATCTGTTCTTGCTGAAAAACATCTGTGTCTAAGGGTGAGGGTGTGAGATCTGTGTGAAAGTTTTATCAGGGTTATTTGAAGCATCCAGTGACTTCCGATTTGAGGCTTCTTCAGAAGTTGGAGGTCCTTGGGTTCCTCTGAGCTTGATTGTTTTCTTGCAGATGTTTCATTATGCAAACTAGGTGACACCAAAAGTGCTAGATGTTACCTAGTTTGGGTAATGAAATGTCTGCCAAAAAACAACAACCGAGCTCAGTGAGCACCAAAGACCCAAGGAGCTACAAATATTCTCTTTCATTTTTCAGAGGTTGTCGTTTGCTAGATGTGATTGTGCAGCCATAACTACTGAGGCATGATAGCTGTTATTGGTGCAAATTTCCTGCACCCAAGGATTTTGATCCACTTACTGGCCAAGTCTTGAATCTGTCAGCCATCAGGATTTAAGAACTAAAACGAGGGGAACCTGTATGGCAGGGATGTCAAACTCAAGGCCCAGAGGCTGGGTCCAGCCTGCGGAGTGCTTAGATCTGGCTCGCGGGGCTGCCCTGGAAACAGTGAAGGACTGGTCTGCAGTGCATCTGCCATCGAAAATGGAGCTTGGAAGGGCTGTGGGCGGCCCTCCCAAGCTCCATTTTTGCTGCTAGAAGATTGCAGGAGGCTGTCACAGCTGAAACGGAACTCAGGAGCCTGTTTTCGCTGGAAGAGCACTCAAGCCACCACAGGTGCCCCAGACACGAGTGATGTCAATTTGGCTACACCCACCCTTTACAGGCCCCTCCCAAGGTCAAACACAACCCTAATATGGCCCTCAATGAAAACAAGTTTGACACCCTTGCTGTATGGCCTCCCCCCCCCCCCGGCCTGGCTCTGCTTCTACTTTTGCAACCAGAGCATACATGTTATGGTATTCTGTTTTTGGGTTCTCTGAAGTTTGCAGGCCCTCTGTATAAGGATTCGTATTTGCATGCCAAAGATTGCTCTCATTTTTTTTTCCTGTCTATAGATTTGTCTGTGTCCTGTTCCTAGAGCCTGCTTGTAAATATTTAAAATACTTCAAATATTTCTCAACCTTATTCCATCCCTAACAACAGACATTCCGGTCTCAATTGTGATCTTAATCAAGGACTTTATTAAACTGATACGCTGCTTGAGTAAAAACTCCCAGGGACTTGGGCTACTTTACAAATTATTCAAAACATTTTAAAAACAAGTAATAGGATAAGAAACACAAAATCAGGACACAAGATGGTAGCGAAACAAATCTGAAAGAAGGGGTGTCAGGTGTCTTCAGCAGCATCCTGGCTGAAAGGGACGTCTTCAGGACCTTTTGAAACCCCAGTAGGGTGGAGCCCATTCAAGCCCATGGAAGATAAGTTGCTTTATTCTATGCTAGGTATTCTTTGTGTGTGACGGGAACAGAATATTTTTGCCCCTCTAGCTTTGGTGTGATGGACTTCTACGAAGGGCAGTTTCCCAGGAAGGAAAGAGCCTATTCCAAGGGGCAGGGGAATGAGACAAAAAGTAGCACAAGTCAGAGCTGTATAGGAGAGAGAGGGAAAGAGTAAGGATAGCCACTCAAAATCTATCAAGGTGTCTCCATTAGGATGACAGTAGTAAGCTGTTTAGTCTCGCAAGATCCTGTCTATTGTGCATAATCAAATGAAGAACTCAACTTTGGTTGGCTACGTTGCCTGGCAACAAAGGGCTGAATTAATAGTTTTCTGTGCTTTTCTGTCGTGGAAACTTCACTTTTGAGGTTTAAGTTTAAAGATCAGTAGGCACTTTTCTTAAATGCGATGTACTTATCCTGACTTTTCAAAGTGCAGTTCGTTATTGGGGATTATTATCTAGAAAATTCATCAAATCAAATTCAATATATAAATTTAGTCTAAGGTTAGCAAATGAATGACAAAGACGACCGTCAAACTGAAGAGCCGAGGTGGCGCAGTGGTTAAATGCAGCACTGCAGGCTACTGCTAGATCAGCAGTTCAGCGGTTCAAATCTCACCCGCTCAGGGTTGACTCAGCCTTCCATCCTTCCGAGGTGGGTAAAATGAGGACCCAGATTGTTGGGGGCAATATGCTGACTCTCTGTAAACCGCTTAGAGAGGGCTGAAAGCCCTATGAAGCGGTATATAAGTCTACTGCTATTGCTATATTGCTATTTTTAGTACCAAGGAGTTTTACAAAGGCTCATGAATCAAGATTGTTCCATCATCAAATCCGATCAACAATTCAAGAATGGAAGATTAAAGTTGGTGAATAGAATAAAATACTATGTTAGGAATCACTTTATTGGTTAAGTATGAGTAGATACACAAGACATTTGTCTCCAGTGTATAAGCTCTCCATGTACATGCAAAGTAACAAAGTAATAATAATCTTAATAACAAAGGAGAATAATCGTAATAATGATACTAATAGAGAAGGTAGTGGAACAGGTGATAAGGATAAAAGTAAGATAGCCAAACTACGTGGCTAGATAGCAATAGCAATAGCAGTTAGACTTATATACCGCTTCATAGGGCTTTCAGCCCTCTCTAAGCGGTTTACAGAGTCAGCATATTGCCCCCAACAACAATCCGGCTCCTCATTTTACCCACCTCGGAAGGATGGAAGGCTGAGTCAACCCTGAGCCGGTGAGATTTGAACAGCCGAACTGCAGAACTGCAGTCAGCTGAAGTAGCCTGCAGTGCTGCATTTAACCACTGCGCCACCTCGGCTCTATATTCGTAGGCATAAGACAGTGCTGTGGGAATTAGGCATTTAGTAGAATGACGGCATGAGGAAAACAGTCTCAGAGCCTAGTTTTGGCATGCAATGCCCTATAGCAGGGGAGAAGTTGAAATAGTTTCTGTTCAGGATGTGCTGGATCTGTAGATATTTTCTCAGCTCTCTTTCTGATCCATACAATATACAGTACACAGTAATGGCAAAACTATATATACTCATATTAAAAGTTTAATTAAATTCAAGTAGAAATGACTCTCTTACATACAATATATCACAAAACAAGGCAGCCTTAGAAATTTGAGATATGGTTTTGCAGGGGGGGGGGAGTTAAGCAATTACTTTAAAAATAAAATAAACAATTTAAATAAGCAACAATCTCTCCTATTTCAAGAAAAGGACAAATTCCTAAATAGGGATTAATGAACAAAGATAAGGGAAGGGAAGGGAAAAGAAAGCTAATAAAAGTGCCTCTTTGAAGATGGTTTATTATAGTTTATTTTTTTATTTTATTTCAGCCTTTTGCTTTTCTTTTCTTTCTTTTTTTGCTATTAGCTTGAAGAATATAAAGCGAACCTATGTCTCTTTATGTTTATTACAAAGTGTCATATTTTTTTAATGGGAAATTGTTCCAGCAGCTTTGCTGGCCATATTTGCTCCCTAAATTTTATAAGCACAGAGCAAATACTGTTGCTCTGATCAGGCTTAGTTTCTCTCAAGTAATCCTCATGGCATTGCTGAGAGCCCCAACCTCTCTCTTTTGCCTGATGTTCTGCCTACAGAGATGAAAATGAAAGTGTTCTTTGCTTGTGTGTGAAAGGATGGGTAAAGGTTATCACCTAGCTCAGGGGTCACCAACCTTTTGGACTTCAGGGACTCCTAAATTCATAATTTTAAATCCCGTGGACCACTCATATGATCTACCTAATGACCAGCTGGGTGGGTGTGGCCACCAGTTTTGGTCGCCACAATGAAAAAAAGATGTAGAGACTCTAGAAAGAGTGCAGAGTAGAGCAACAAAGATGATTAGGGGACTGGAGACTAAAACATATGAAGAACGGTTGCAGAAACTGGGTATGTCTAGTTTAATGAAAAGAAGGACTAGGGGAGACATGATAGCATGTTTCAATATCTCAGGGGCTGCTACAAAGAAGAGGGAGTCAAGCTATTTTCCAAAGCACCTGAGGGTAGAACAAGAAGCAATGGGTGGAAACTAATCAAGGAGAGAATTGAAGAACCTAGAACTGAGGAGAAATTTACTGACAGTGAGAACAATTAATCAGTGGAACAGCTTGCCTCCAGAAGTTGTGAATGCCCCAACACTGGAAGTCTTTAAGAAGATGTTGGATAGTCATTTGTCTGAAATGGTTTCGGGTCTAGGCAGGGGGTTTGACTAGAAGACCTCCAAGGTCCCTTCCAACTCTTACACTCTATCCTATCAGTAATTTTTGTGATGCTGAAGTGTTAGTGCCCCAAAGACAAACTTCTGAGAACATGAAGGTATTCCCAAGGACCGTATGGAAGAAGCATCTGGTCTGGATTAGAGTCTTGTGAGTCTAGGTCAGGGATGATAGGTCTCTTCCTGCCCTGACAAAATTCTGAAGCCTTGAACTACTGCACCTATTCTTCAGGCATGTTCTTCTGGTTGTTCCCCATGTCTTGAGGTAAACATTTGACGAAACTAGTCCATGTAACATTATGTGCCTGTGGGAAAGAGAAATCTGTTATTTATGCTACCTTTACAGAAAGTACATTGAACACTATTGTTTTTTTTTTTTTTTTCAGAAACATCAAACTTTTTCAAACAGCAAGAACTTCGAAGGATGAAGTGGGAAAGGAACCGTGTGACGCCAAGAACAACCTACCGGCGTTCTGTCAGTAGAGAAAGATGGGTGGAGACTTTGGTAGTTGCTGATAGTAAAATGATTGAATACCACGGAAGTGAAAATGTGGAATCCTATATCCTCACTATCATAAATATGGTGAGTCATACCATCTATTTCTATTGGGGTGGATTTGATTTTGACTTGATTTTGATTCTATTTGATTCAGTTCAGTGAATGTGATTGTCCTCTATATTTAATTATTTTCTCCTGTCATCTTAAAAATAGAACGATGCTTTTGTGGAAGCACAGTTCTTTATCCTAAATATGCCTGAAGAAGTATGCCAAATATAGATGTAGAGAATAGCGTAAAATTTGAGTCAAAATATTTTAGCAAAAGCACAACACTTCTAATTCATCTAAGCAACTTAGCACTTATCCATAGCAGCCAAAACAAACTCTGTATAAGTTTGCCTTGCATTTTGTTTAATTTGCTTCAGTTATTATATACTCCAGTAATTTCCATTTGACATCTCAGGACCTCTTCCGTTTCCTTTTGTCTCTTCTTCTTTCCCCAGTCATATTTAGCTTGTAAGTTCTTTGGAGAAAGGAACTAGCTGCCAGATACTTTGATGTTGATCGATAGTGTTCATGGGACTGAGGAAGATGTGTCCAAAAAAGTCAAGATGTTGGCCACAACCATGCAATCAAAACACATTAAAAAAAAGTGGAGCTTCAATAGTAGGATTGTGGCTGTCATCTTGACTTTGACACTCCTCCACAGAGACTCGTCATCACTATTAGGAAAAAAAATTGAAGAAGAATCCGCTAAGTTCATATTGCCTGGCTTTGATTTAGGTGGCAGGATTATTCCATGATCCGAGCATTGGCAACGCGATCCATATTGTGCTTGTTCGGCTTATTCTTCTTGAAGAAGAGGAGGTAAGAACTTGGTCTCCTGGTTAATCCTAAGCTTGGTCATGTCATTGAAGGAAGACGCTTGAAGGAAAGCGCGAGTTTTTAGGACCTTGCAAAAGAACAGAAGGGTTCCTGTTATCTGAACTTCACAGGGCATGATGTTCCACGGGGCAAGCATTGCAACAGAGAAGTAGGGCATGAATGACCATCACTTGGGCCTCCAGTTCCAGAAATGGGCACAACTGACATACAATAGATGTAGGATCTATTCAGTCAACTTTGACAAAGAATCCAACTTTTTATTTTTCCTCTTCAGAAATGCACTCTGTAGAAGAAGAGTTAGTATTAATTCCAATGCGCCTGCTTTCAAATGAGATAAAGTGCTATTAATTTATCATTATGCTTCACCTATCCTTTAGTTTAGGGATAACATTTGTTTCAAAGTAGAAAAAAATAATGTTCTAATCAGGGCTGGGCTTCAAAATTTTTAGCAAGGGGTTCTCTGGGTTCTCTGCCCAGTTCTGGGTGGGAAATGGGCCCATTTATTGCAGTTTCTTTTTGTTTATTTTTTTATCCCATGAAGACTTCTCCATTTTTTCTATTGTACTGTTTTTTTCCTCCCCTGATCTATCTTCAGTAATAACCCCTTTTTTAAAAATCACATGCCAGGATTCAATAAATGACTATTATAATCACGTCTCTCACCTCATGCAATAGCAATATTTATTAAAACTCAATTAACTTGCCAGGCTTTGTCATTATCACAGATACTGATAGTCTTCTGACAAGATAATTCATTTCCCCATCTCTTTGTAGCAAGGGCTGAAAATCACCCACCATGCAGATAAGACTTTAGCCAGCTTTTGTAAATGGCAGAAGAGTATCAACCCGAAATTGGATACAAACCCACTTCACCATGATGTAGCTGTACTTCTTACCAGGTAGGATATTCTCCTTATGTATGGGGTTCTTTGAATGAGATACGGCAGTGGTGAAATTCAAAAATTTTCCCTACAGGTTCTGTGGGCGTGGCTTGGTGGGCATGGCTTAGTGGTCATGTGACTGTGTGGGCATGGTGCGGCTTGCTGGTCATGTGACTGGGTAGGCGTGGCTGCACAACTGACTCATACACAATGTAAAAGCAGCTGGACCTCACACAAAATGGCCCCTGCAACAAAGCAGGAACCTCACAGACAATCAGGCACAGCTGATTGTTGCACAGTTGATCACTGGAACTTTTAAAAACTTTTTAAAGCATTTTTATTACTGGTTCGGGTGAATCGGCCCGAACTGGTAGCATTTCACCCCTGAGATACAGGTAGTCCTTGACCCAAAGTTGCTTTCTTTTCAGGAGACAACTGTATTTTCTTGGTTTTTCTTTTTAAGACGTTTCACTTCTCATCCAAGAAGTTTTTTCAGCTCTGACAGGATAGTGAAGAATGGAAGGATTTATATTCCTTGCAGACAGCTGGTCATTTGCACCTTTTTAGAGGGTCATTAAAGCACTTGGAGGTTTATCTGTGTCCTCAGGGTCACCTGAGTAGTGCTCCTGGTTCCCGAAGTTTGCATTTTTTCCTCTGGAAATCCATTCCTACTCAGACACCATTCAAAGGATGTTCCTCCCAAATTGTATAGCTAAAAATCTGTAAAGATTCTGATTCATCCTGGATGACATTTAGCTATACAACGTCTTCAAAAGAAAAAACAAGAAAGTCCATTTGCCTCTTTAAAAAGCACCTTTGGGACAACGATGACCTATAGAGCCGAGGTGGCGCAGTGGTTAGAGTGCAGTACTGCAGGCCACTTCAGCTGACTGCTATCTGCAGTTCGGTGGTTCAAATCTCACTGGCTCAAGGTTGACTCAGGCTTCCATCCTTCCGAGGTGGGTGAAATGAGGACCCAGACTGTGGGGGCAATACTCTGTAAACCGCTTAGAGAGGGCTGAAAGCCCTATGAAGCGGTATATAAGTCTAACTGCTATTGAATTGAATTGAATTTTATT